TGCGACTGCACTTTCCTAATGTGCAAATATTTATAGCAGCCACACACTCCATGCACATACACACGCACATATGCATACGCTCACACACACACACAGAACAGTTGCTGCAACAGTTGTTCTGGCTTTTTGGCGCCAAAAATAGCAACAAGCGTAAACAAAATGCGACCTTGTGTCATAATAAAGCGCTCAAAGCCGGAGCCAAAGCTCTCTCTTTCTCGCTCTTTGAGTCCCTTACAGCTGCGTCGAATGTGGGTCACACACTGCGTTTGAGTGATTTTTATTACATGCTGCTGTCTCTGGCAGACTTGGGTTCAGTTGTGCACGAGACGCGTGCGAAGCGCCACGTTTGTAGACCTTGCGTCGCTTCAGAGCTCGCCGCCTGACAAATTCGGCGCGCTTTTCTTTTGTGGAAATTCCGGTTACTCGAATCAATAGCTCAGTGAAAGGACAAAAAAAACAGAAAGGGAAAGGAAAAGTGTCGCCAGCAATTGTGCTTATTTTTGGTCCTTTGTGCGGCTTTGCCAGTTGCACTTGCCCATTTGTTGTTGTTTAAGTGCCAGCAACAGCGCCTGTAAAACTGTAAGTGAAATTTGCAAGTCAACATTAAAAATGCAGTCCTAATGTAATCCTAAGTGGCGGGTCCGACCTTTGGTTATCGCTTAACCTGCTGTTTACCGCGATGTGTGCGTCTATGTGTATGTTTGTGTCCCTCCTTAAAAGTGAACATTGTGTATATTACGCATACGCCGCGTTGTCAACGCGCAAGTGACGTGACAAGCACAAAAGGAGATGTTGCCCGACAGCAAAAGCTGACGCAAACACACTGACAGTCGCAATGACAGACGGACAGTCGCCACAGTCGCTGTGACGGACATTTATGACACGCCAAAGGATCGCACGAGCTTTTTGTTGTGCCTGCCTGCACTTGACGCTGGCCATAATTGAAGTGTAACCGCATTTTAGGCGTGTGGCGCCACAAGAGACCTTGCTGTGGGCGTGGCACACTTTATTGTAGCAGTTATAGTCGTTACTACTGCGGCTGTCCACGTATCCATTTTTAGGGCATGACAAATGCGAACAGCTTTCAGCTGTCAACTCTGTCGGCAAGAATTTCCATTTGACACAGATTCCAGCTTTTCGACAGTCATAAATTTGGCAGACACATTCAGTTTAGATGTGTCCAGTTGTCCAGTCGGGTTTGATATAGTATATTGAAATCAAAACTTTTATTGCTCAACTAGATAATAATTGAATTAAATTTAATTATACAAATTTAGAATATATGATATTTTATACGTAAAACTCTCCCAAAAGTAGGCTATGCTTAATATACTGAGTACCTTCTAATAAAAATCTACAAAGCCTCTGAAACCTCAGTACCAACCATAAGTAATAAGTCTGCTTATTGTAAGCATGGGTTATCGATAATCGTAAGAATCCGTTAGTGACCCCATGGAAAACGAATGTGTGAAAATTTAGTTACTTCAAGATCAATCTTGGAATTTAATTTTGTATATACGTGACTATCATTAGCTTGTACTGTTACTTTGAGAGGTATCTTGCAGTCGATCATTTTTCACTTACGACTTCCTAATTGTTTTCCTTTGCCGTTGCCAATGATTTTTGTGCGTGCCTACATTCTCTTATTTTTATTTCGTGTTTGTTTTTGTACATTGAAGCACCTGTGCTTGGTCTGCTACCAACTCGCAGCTCGCTGACCCCCCCCCCCCCCTCTCTCACTCTCTGCGCCTTGAAATTTATCGCTTTTTTATTGGACAACCAACAGGAAAACTTGTGTTTAATTCATAAGAAAAAGTTTGGTTTTTCTCTCTTTGCTTTTGGCATTGCCTCCTCGCTCGGCGGGCAGCTGATTAAGACGATAATAATGTCTATTAATATTTAACAAAGAACCCCCTTACGCCCCGCCCCTTGAGCCTTGGGGCTCTAGTCTGCGTGTGAGTCTATAAAGAAGTTGGAAGCTAATTGAATGGCCCGGCCTTTGGGTAACTTAAGTGTGTGGCTCAGGTTTCATTTGCAGTCCAACTATGCTTGCTTTACATATACTTATTTTATGTGTATCCCTGGACACATCATCAACAGACGCGCACATGTCTCTGCATACTCCTAACTAAGGTACACAGCTTCAATTTTAATACGATCTTCTGGCAAACAAAAATTAAATACACACACAAATTTCACACGGCCCATATCCTTTAATGGGCGTACCCTTAACCCCACAGCAGGCAGGAAGAAAAGCTTCTAGAATATTGTTTAAATATTAAATGTGTGTATATATATATATATATATATATATATACATATCTGTCTGTGTGTGTGTGCGTGTGTGTGTGTGTTTGTGTGTGTGTGTGTGTCAATTTTTCTCACTTTCCATGGTTTAAAACAGGCTGTAAACTATTTTTGGATTAAGTAGTTTCTTTCTGAATAAAAAGTGATATAATTAATTAAGCACATTCCAAATGCTATCACAAATTGTTTACAACAGATAGATTTTTATTTATTAACAAAGTCTTTTGAAAATGTTTAATGCTGTCTATGGCAACCATAAATTTATTTTATTTTTTCCAATTCTAGGATTCGGTTCAAGAATATAATGTGACCTTGAAAGCGTAACTCAGCTCATAAGAAAACGGTTCTTGGCCAGAGTTCTTATAGACTACGATTTTATGAGTCATCGAGTGTCTGTGTCAACAAATTACTTTTTATAATTCCCATGTGGTTCTAGCACTAATTAAGTGTTGTGTGTGGGTTCATGTCTGGGCTAAAGGAGTGTACCTCTAACTAGCTGTTAAATGCGAGCGCAACAACACGTGAATGTCCTTGTTATATAGTTCTTGTTAGATCCAATCAACTATTCAATTTATAGTGCATGACTAATTCAGTTAATTAACTCAATTTGTTTCCGCTTATGTATCAGTAATCAATCGCGCAACCGAAGCTCGTTTGAAAAGTGCCACGCCCTCCTTGCCTGGCTTACAACTACTTGACAATTTGTTACGTTTATGCTGCGATTCGATTTGCTTGGCTGCGTGTCCATAAATCAGAGGCTAACATGACGTCATTTATCCGAGAGCAAACAGAACAAGAAGCGAACAAAAAGAATGAAAGGAAAACGAAGGATGCCCTTAAGGACTTGTTTACCCAGTTGCCGTCGAGCGCCCCTGGCGCACGTCAACCTTGTGACCCCAATTGATGTTGTTGCAGGTTCTTATAGCGTGTTGGCCATGCTGTCTCTGATTCGTTGTGCGGGGCGACAATCAATGGGCAAACATCAAAGTTTATTGTTCAATCACGACATCAGTTCCAGTGCACAGTTCAAAGTTGAAAGCCCCAGCGCTCATTATGCATACGCCGCGTGTTCCGGGTCGAACTACTGAAAACTAAATCAAGCCGTAGCAAATCAAATATTAATAAAGCAATTAAATCACAATACATGCAACGAGCATTGCAGATGAGCGCGTGGCACGTGTGACAGCATGAATTTTAATATTCATTTAAATAATTGTGATTTTGTAAAGAGTCCAAGAGAAACAGAAGATAGTCGTGCACTATGAATATATATGAATATACACTAGATCTGAGAGAACCTATAGAGTATATATTAAACTAGAAGATTCGTGAAATTAATGTGATTCATTATTTTCTCATCGATTCCTTCCTTAAGGGATATAGAAACAGGTCTGACACACATACATATATGTATTTACTGGATGTCATGTTCATGAAGTCATGAGAAAACAAACGTGATTAAACAACTTCCCGTTGGTTCCTTCCATAATTTGCAGGCGCTAATTTAAGGACCCGTAGCATGCAGGACATTCTGTGCAAGCGCACAAGGCAAATTACTGGCAAATTTTAAATTCCCGAGGAGCGGAATTTGATGCAACATTTTCCAAGCATTTGTTGGGCATTTGCCAGGCATAGCCTGCAGCTGCAGCAACAGCAGCAACAATAACAACAACAACAATGTGTGTCCTTCAACAACAAGAGCTGCTTTGCCCTACCTTTTTTACCTTCCTGACAGGCACACAATGTGCAGCAACGTGTGCGTGTCTGCGCGTGTCGGTGTGTCTGTGTGGGGCGGTGTTGAAGGCCACATTAAAGTCGGCCCAGCTGATATGCATCTGATATGCGCTTTTTGCGTTGGCGCGTTGTTTACCTTTTAATCTGCGCTGGCGGGCATTAAAAATGCGTATGCCACGATTATTACACATACGTCACGTGTTACGCGCACATTTGTTATTTATGAAAATGGTTCGTTCCCGTTGCTTAAGCCTGCAGCTTAATAACGGATGCTCCCGTCGCAAGTCGAAATTAGCTAAGGGATGCCAGCACAGCACAGGATCCGCACCTATGCCCATCGCAAATAGAAACAATTAACAATTAACATTCGACCCGGCTGCTGTCTGCATAGTTACCTAATGATTACACTGCGCAACAAATAAGCTATGCTTGTATTAACTGTGTATAGCAATTAAATTGAGTTATGTAAACTATTTACACTTGGAAACAAAATATGTTGTTAAACGATTTTATAAAAATAACTTATGTGATTACATGCTGTTTAAAAAACAATAAAGAGCAGCACATGCCTCAAATTTTAAATTATAAATTTAAAATATTTTTTTTAATTCGATAAATTAGAATAGACACCTATGCTCAATGAAAAATATAAAATTGAAGTGGATTTCTTTTTTTAAGCAAGTTTTTGAGCATTTTATTAACTGTTGTCAAACAAAAGGCAGCTTTTATAAACTCAAAAATCAAAAAGGTTATTTGTTGTGTTAACCAGTGTAGCCTAGTCTACCCAGGCTGCGTCTAGCCCATGGCGGCAGAGAAGCTACACAACTGAGACTCGCATCACCCGGCTGCTGTGCGAAGCTTTGGCTCAACGAAAAAAGCTTTCACTCAAAGCCCAAAATCTACTAGTGGCTGCCGCTCAAAATTTCAGTTCAGTTTTCAAAACGTCGCCGTCGACGCAAAGTCGTCAAACGCGTCGCGCAATCTACAAAAAATAAAAATTGCCAAGAGCGCAGTTTAAAAAAAAAATAAGTAAATAAAAAACAACATTCAAATTCGTATAGAACTTATAAAGTTTTGTTTGGGTGCGTACATAATTTTGTAATTTGTGTTGTTGTTTCTTAATGCGTTATCATAATCCGGTTTCAAAAACACACTCAACGAATGTATTGTGTTAATTTGTTGTAATTGTTGCTGTTTGAAGAACGAATGAAAATTAGAACTTGATAAAAATACACAAATTGTATTCCATATTGGCAAGTTTGTATATACTCTATGGCACATAAGAATTTGAGATACTCGCATGCATGTATCTTAGTGCGTATTTATGGGTGTTTGCGTGCGTGCTTGTGTGTATTCGAAATGAAACCATTTTGATACGTGCTCATTTATAAATCCTTAAATATGCAAACAGATTGTTGAAATACGTAATTGATTACCAATTGCAACATGAAATTCCAATTTGTAAAATTATATCTAATTCAAAAAAAATAGTTCTAAGACCTCAAAGAACATGTGAAAATATTTCTGTATTAAAAATAGCTCGTTTTCATACTAATTTTTATAAGAGGGCACGAATCATGTGCCATGGATTTTATACATGATTCAAGCGATTTCTTAGAAACTCATAGCCGAACCCCTATTTAAGCTATAATATTTTGCTTATCATATATAATGGATTTATAGGCCACACATACCTAAACTTTATACTATATTTAAAAGACTTTCTTACGTTTATTACTCAACTAGAAAATATTTTGAAAAAATTCGTTGCCTTATTTAAATAAAAAAATTAAATTTAAATCATTCTTCTTTTATCTATTAAAAATTTCTCGAATTTCTCCACATAAAATATTTTGTATCTTTGGCTTATATTAAATTTAAATTATTTTTGCAATAAAAGTTCTCATTTTTTAGTTAATTGGGCTGAATTACATTTGATTTATTTGTTGACATACAACATTATTAATTATAAATTTGTATTTATGTTTATTTTCTAAACTTTCAACTTCCAGCACACACAAATTGCAAATACACAACCGCAACACTAAGAAGAAGAACGCACTATAGCAACAAACAATGCTGAGGTGATTTATTTATTTTAACCCTAGTTAGTTTCTTATAATATTCACAATCATCTATTATTCACCATAAAAACAATTCGAGCGGGTCACGCCTATATAATATAACAAAAAATAAAGGAAATACAAATAGTTTATTAAAACTACAACAACAGCAATCAGAAGACGACGTCATTCTATAAAAACGCAGACCGACTTACAGAGAGAGAGAGAGAGAGAGAGAGAGGCAGAGCGAAAGAGAATGAGAACGCGAAGAAGCAACAAATATGCGAATAGTCGTTAGGCAGGTTCAAGTTCTTGACAATTGAATGCCAATTGGGCAGCTTTTGGAGGTAGCCCGCGTTAAAGTTATGTCAGACTTGACTCTCTCTCACCCTCTCTGTTTTGTTTGTTTTTGTTTGCCAGACTTTGATGGCACTCAACAGGTGCCCAGAGCCCCAAAACAAATTACCACAGGCCCCATGACAAATGTGGCACCTAGCGAGCCACTTGAATGAAATGTGAAACAAGGCGGAATGAAACGAACTTGGCAATTGAAGCTTTGACGACGCCTAGCTACCGTATAAAATATTTAACAGGGGGCTAGGAGCCACCCTCGCAAAAACTGAACTCAATGTTAAATCGTTACGACAAAAGCTCTTTTCAATTTGATAAAAATCCCATTTAAAAAGTTGAGACAGTGACCAAAGTTGATTCTTTGAATATTTTACACAATGCACATCATTTAACTTTTCCAAATAGGCCCAACAAAACACGACGCCTGTGGGCGTGGCCGCGGTAAAACTCAAATGAATAACACAAACAAAACAACAAAACGAGAACAAAAAGTCAACACGAGGCGCCAGCAACGTCAAGAAATTTAAGAGCCCAAGGGCCTTCAAATATGAGTGGTTTAATTTCTGATGTTACGATTGTTCGATTCCTGTCCCTTGGGTTCTTAGAAATTCATAATATTCGAATGTACCTAAAAAGTCGAACAGTCTAGGATTTGTACCCGCTTACTTATTTTAAACAATTATTATACGTTCTTTTATTCCGGCTAATGCTTTACGGTCCAAATTTTAGTAAAATTTAATAAGGAGTTAATTTTGATACTGTCTGACAGGACTTTATGTTAATATGGCAACGCCGCAATGTTAAGTTATCGATAGATTGTAAAGCTTTGAAATAAATGTTTATTGCAAGCTGCATTTTGTTGATAAAAAAATTAAAATTTAATTAATTTTAATGTTAATGTAATTAATCTATATATATAAAATTGTTTGTCCTGACTGATTGATTGTCTGATTGGTAATCAACGCGCAACCGTAAAAGCTAGGAAGCTGGAATGTTTACTGTAGTTACTTTATGTGATGAAGGTTCATGCCAAGACGGGGTTTTCGGGAAATTCGACACGCATGTGTGAGCTTCTTTGTTTACCATCCGATCGCCCTCAAACTAATTTTACATCTTTCATTTTAGATCTTTGTTAAAATTAATTTGTGGGGTGTTTTACACTTTTCGAAAAATCCCTTCCTCCTTGGTGGATGGGAATCAAAGATTTAGTGGGCGACGTTTCGCGCTTAAATGAATTTCCAAAGATCAATATGAAAAATCATTTAAGACGTGTCTCAATGATTTTAGGTTTAAGTTTTGTCCGATTTGCATCAAACTTCATTCAAAAACATTCTCAAAGATCTTTGTCAAAATTCATCTGATGGGGATTTGGAACTTTTTGAAAAATCCATCCCTCCTTGATGGAAATGTAGGTCAAAGATTTGGTGGGTGATATTTCGTGTTCAAATTTATTTTCTAAGGTCTATACGTAGATAGACATGTTTCACATTTTTCGCAAAATCAAAGCTTCCTCTGTAGAAAATTAAATTCTAAGATTTTTGTGGTGAAGTTTCAAGTTTGGTCCGATTTGCATCAAACCTATTTTCAAAACTCTACATAATTTTCAAAGATCTTTGAGCTAAATTATTTATAACGTTCTTGAGTTCAAATGCTGGTCAAATGTTTTAGAAACGAAAGAGTATTCTTTAACTTTTAGACTCTCCCCGCAATGCTAACATAAGCGGAAACCGTTGATTTCAACAATTTGTTCTTTATTCGATGCACTTATAACAAATTTTTAAATAGGAATGGAGTTTATTCCACGGGCGTGTACTTAGCAATATCTAACATTTTTAGACATTTATTCAATGCATCTTAATGAGGGCAACCCCCAAACTCAAACTCAGTTCAGATTATGTTACGAACAGCATGGCAACGTCAAGGTACTCGCTGGCTGTGGGCTCAACAGGTGCTTGGTATAGTTGCCGCTTGCCACATGCCACTTGACAGTTGGCAGTTGCCAGTTGAAAGTGGCACAGAAATTGTGTTAATTTGCTTGGCCCACGCGACGTATGAGTAATACGTGACCATATAATAGAAAATGCCAGCCAGGTAAACACAAATTGCGTACGAAAACAACATTTTAGCCGGCAACAAGTTTACTGCACTCTCCATAGACCCACATCCCATGATGACATCATCGGCTGGGGCCGTGCTTTGCCGGCTGTGCTAATGAATCAGCTGCCTTCATTTAAGCTAATATAATTGACAACAACAATTTTAATGATTATAATAATAGCTATTATTTTATTTCTCTCATTATTCCAGCGATAAGAACGCAGCTGAGTCGAGCACGCCTCTGGCCGATTTCATTGTGCCGCCGGATCCGGAGCGGGTGGAGGAGCCAATCGTGCCGCTGGCACAGCTGCCCAAAATGACTGAAACGACCGCATTGCCCCCAATTGCCACGCCCACGGCAACACCAACAGCCACAGGCACAGGCACAGCGACACCAACGACTGCAAATGGCAACACAGCTGTGGCCAGGAGCCGCTCCAGCGATGAGGACGGCATCTTTTCGGTGCTCTACTCGGTAGGCAAGAAGGTGGCCATTGTGGGCTCCATATATCTGGTCGGATATATGGGCTGGTCTGTGGCCTGGCTTATAACGCCTGTGATTTTGTCCGTGGCCCGCGATCAACTGGCGAAGACTTCAGCGAAGAAACGCGACATTGCCAAGGCATCGGCGCTGGCCTCCGAGAAGGATGTAATCTTGGCGCGCATCGACGAGCTGCCCGCCTGGGTATACTTTCCCGATGTTGAACGCGCCGAGTGGTTAAATAAGGTAAGCTAGCTCTAGCCTAACCAAACTTAGCACTCATCTATAGATTTGTATCATGTTTGGATAAAATATTTAAGTTTCAGACACTGAAAATTTCCATTTAAATTATTTCTGCTGTTGAAAATTGATCCCCAGATTAATATTAAATTTTAATTTAATTTATAGTTGTTTACTAACTATTTCAATACTTCTAACCTTGTAGATAATATTAGTAGTAGTAGTAGTAGACATCTGCCCATATAGTATATATATGCTTGATCAGTATCAACAGTCGAGTTGACATAGCCATGTCCGTCAATCCGTTCGTCCGACTGTTTTTATGTAAGCCGTCTGGTTTACATGAGAGTCTAGTAAAGCTATCGTTATGAAACGTTGCGTAGGTCCATACTTTTCAACATCGGATACCCATATCATAAACCTCTATAGGAAGAATCGGTCGAAAAATTCATTTTTTTATGGAAAATTGTTATGTTTATTTCACGTACTTAATTTAGTTTATAAACAAAAATAATAATTATTCACATTTGCTTATGAACTATTTCGGAAAACACTTTTTATCTTCACAACAGATTCTGAAGCAGGTGTGGCCCAATGCCAACCATTTTGCCCGCTCCCTGGTCAAGGAGACGATTGAGCCAAATGTGGCATTGGCCCTGTCGCAGTACAAGATGCACGGCTTTCGCTTCGATCGGATCATATTGGGCACAATACCGCCGCGCATTGGTGGCGTGAAGATCTACGATAAGAACGTGGACCGAAATGAGATTATAATGGACCTGGACTTATTTTATGCCAGCGATTGCGATATTAACTTCTACCTGGGTGGCATGAAGGGCGGCATTAAGGATTTCCAGATACACGGCTGGGTGCGCGTTGTGATGAAGCCCCTGATACGCTCCATGCCGCTAGTTGGCGGACTCCAGATATTTTTCCTAAACAATCCCAACATTGATTTCAATCTGGTGGGTGTGATTGACTTTATGGACATGCCCGGACTCTCCGATCTGTTGCGTCGCATCATTGTCGAGCAGATTGGCAATGTGATGGTGCTGCCTAACAAGCTGCCGATATCCCTCAGCGAGGAGGTCTCCGCTGTGGCGCTCAAAATGCCCGAGCCTGAGGTGGGTCACAAAAATTATATCTGCATATATATATTCACATATAAATATATATATCTATCCGATAGACTGACATACTGATGTTTAAAGCCCTAGATACTAGATATTTGAATAATACCGAGTTTTTGGAAAAATTTTTTATTTGATCGGCTTTAAACTCATTTTCAACAATCCTTATGAAATTTCATAGGTCCTTCAACCGAGCAAAATCGGCGAATATTTAATCGTTTATAAAATTATAAATATTTTTAATACAGGGTCTGTTGCGTATACACGTCGTGGAAGCAAAGAATCTGATGAAGAAGGACATCAGTGTGCTCGGCAAGGGCAAATCGGATCCGTACGCCATTATCAATGTGGGCGCACAGGAGTTCAGGACGCAGATCATTGATAATAATGTGAATCCCAAGTGGGATTATTGGTGTGAGGTACGTAGGCTGGCTGCCATGAAACTGCCGTGACAGCGTTGCTTTTTGTAGTCTGTTGTTGCCGTTGCCCATCGATTGCTGCATGCTACAAAACACACGCACACAAACACACACCCAATACCCATGAATTTTATATGCCGTAGAATTTTCGTTTTCAAATTCATTTTTAATTTCCATGCATATTTCTTGACATTATGTACTCGTATTTTGTTTGTGCGTCTCGTGCCTGCCACTAGGCGCCAGTTTTTATTGAAATGGGTCAATGGGTCGACATACTATTGAAGGACTCGGATGATTCCAAAAAAGACGAGAACCTCGGCAGGTAAGCTATAAATTTTACTAAAAAAAAAAAACAAGATATCACTGGGTACGGCTCACCACGTTCAGTTGGCACTCAACTAACGCTACCCTATCCGATTTCCCATCCTCCCGAATTCACGGTACATCTTATGTGAGTAATATCAGTAATATATATGTTGGCTACCGTGTTGTACTAATGCATGCTTTGTTCTAACTCTGAATAGGATTATACGTTTTGCTCTTGCTGTCAAGTTTAGCCAATGCTCTCTCTCCCTCTCTCTTTATCTCTACCTATCTATTTCTCTGTCTTTCTATTTGAACTTAAACACAATTGTTTTTCTAGGCGTGTATTTTTACCACCATCAACCACTTGGTTGGTTTTTCTTTGTGGGACTATGATCAAAGTATGCCAGGCGTACAGGCCGATGATGTATTGGGCAGGTTGTATTGCGGCATGAGGCTGCATTGTTATTTAATTCTTTTTGATTGCCGTTTTTAGTTTCAGTTATGTTCCATCTTGTTTGCAAGTTATGCCTCCTAATAAACTAAGTACTAAATATAATTCATTAACTAATCAGACAAATGACTGTGATTTGACGTTTTAACTATGATTCAAAATGAAGTGAATCAATAAAGGAAAAAACCCAAATGTTTATTGTAAAGCGCGTTATCATCACGATAAACATTTACCATGAACTTTGACTGGCTCAGCAGCAATATGCAGTGGTCGCTCGCATATTACAATGCTTCGATTTTAGATCATTTTTATTTAAAAACGATTTAATAAGAAATTATGAACATAATTTACATATTTATATATTTTCTCTGGGGCTTGAAGGTGATGAACATTTCTAATTGCTTAAAGCTATAATTTCCAACTATTCACTGGCCCATAGCTTGCATTACGTTTATCATTATCCTGTCAATGTACTGTCAAGATTTTATGCAAAGGTGGCAACGGCACATGACCAAGTTGCCAGGATACTTTTGGATGAATTGTAAAGCTCATGGCTAGTTTTTAATAAACTAAGTTCGGTGCTGCCATATGCGAATTTTGGTGCCTTGTGCAATTTTTAGCTGTCTGCGGAATGTTAACAATAAGATGAGTTGACAAGAACATTTAAATAAAATATAATGTTCAAGAGTTTTTAATGATATGTTTGTTTGATGCCGTGACTACCTCAACTAAGAATTTCTGGAAACAGCATACATTTCCTTTTATTTGCTTTCGTTCATCTAAGTCATGACTGCATTTTCTCATTCGTCAAACAGGGCCTGATGACAGTGTCAGACATCAAATTGCAAACGCTTTTTTGACATGTTAGTGATATAGCTTTTAAATAAACAAAAACTGACCGCTAAACGCAACTGCTGAACACCAATACTAAATACTAAATAATACTAAAAAATACTAACTTTGCATGCGCCGAAACACTCACTCACAGCGAGCTGGAGCACCCTGTACTGAACACTGCATGCCCTGAAGTGTAGTTGATGTAGATTGATTGACTTGAATTAATGCCACTGTACATAATACATACTACTTGAGTTGCCCAACCCGCTCAATACTAACAGTATTAATACAATATCTTCCATCTATTTATCTGAACGGATAAGGCTGTGGTTGAGGTCTCACAACGTGCCATACTCGTGCTTAGGCTCTTTGATTGGGATCGTACAAGTGATGACGAGTCGCTCGGCAGGTTAGGCAATCGTTTGCACAACAACATCAATGAGTATCCGACAGAAAAACAAAAACACATCCAAAACAATACTTTATCCACTGAGCCCAAGCAGACTACACAATTCTCACAGTACTCAATCCCCAAACAGTTTTTCCACTTTTGGCTCCACTTTTGGCCCGAGGTCCGCTTAACACTTAACAAGAATTTTAAGTTATAAAATTTTAAAAATAATTTATACTAAATATAATTGTTATTTCAATCGCCTGCAGAGCCTCCATCGATATATCCAGCGTTATCAAGAAGGGCGTTCTAGATACTGTAAGTATTATTTAGTATAAGCTGACAGCAGAGTAATAATGTCTTAGCTCAGCACTTAGAGGAAAGCTGAATATTCCATAGTAAGCTGAAATTATGGAATTCCATCTACACGGGTGGAAAATGCGTGATTACGCAATATCAAACTCCTAGATGACTTGTTCTCTATGTTTTGGGCGGAATAAAAGTCAGAGCGAAGATTTTATTTTTCTGCATCAACTTCCGTTTTTGTTTCACTCATTTCACAAATCCACCACCTAGGTTGGAAGAGTGGAATGACAATTTAAGGGCAATACAAAGATTTTCGATTAAAAGGCTATTCATTCTTCCACAGTGGCTTACTCTAGAAGATGCCAAGCATGGCGATCTGCATGTACGTCTGCAATGGTATAAGCTGACCGCCGACCCGAATGATCTGCAGCAAATATTATTGGAAACGCAACTGCTGCGTGTGACGACCATGAGTTCGGCTGTGCTAAGCGTTTTCATTGACTCGGCCAGGCATCTGAAGGTACATAATATCACTCATTTGGCTGTCAATCGGAATCTTTTAATAATTGCCTTTAAATCCTAAACAGCAAGCACGTTCCAACTCCAAGCCCGATCCCTATTTGGTTTGCAGCGTCAATAAACAGAAGAAACAGACTGCAATGATCCTGCGCGACGATTCGCCCGTCTGGGAGCAGGGCTTCACCTTCCTGGTGAACAATCCGGACAACGAGTGCCTGAACATTAAGATCTACGATCAGAAGACAGGCAACGATATCGGCCAATATACCTACACACTGAGCACTCTGCTCAAACAGTTCAACATGGAAGTCATACAGCAACCCTTCCAACTGCAAAAATCTGGGCCCGAATCAAAACTATATATGTCACTATCTCTGCGCATTCTGAAGGCTGGCGAAATCGTTAAGGAATCCGAATCCTTGGAGCAGGGGGCAGCCCTGCAACGCAGCACCTCCTCCGAAGTGCCAGTACTGTCTTCTCAATTATCGAAGGTAATCAAATCTTTAAAATATATATACAGTCGGCGTACAAGCATAATCATTCTAAATGCGCCACTCGCCATGATAATGCATAGAGAACTGTTGCATGAAAATATTACATTTTTCATCCGATCTGTTTCCTTCTCATTTACAAAGATCATGAATCAAAATATTATATTGTCTTTGGGCCACAGGGTCTTTCGTAGTCGAGCACACTCTAGTGCAGCATTCCCGCTTGTATCTAATTGGAAATTGCCGTAACTTTCAATCATAATTTTTATCCTGCATAATTTTGTTTTGAAGTTGCAAAAATCGTGCGAAAATGAATTAATTCATTTGGTTTAATCGCATTTCCCTATCCCACTCATTGACCGCAGTCAGTCAATTAGTCTTAATTAGGATTTGGGACATCGATTTTTAGTATAATTATATGCAATCATAACAGATAGAAATGTTTGTCAACAGCAACAACAAAATATGCATACCTAGATCTAACCACACTGTCCACCACCTCACCACCTCCTCAACATCTCCATCTGGTACCTGTTTAATCCGTTATTGTTTCGGCCATTTCTTAGGACGATCAAGCGAAGAGCAAACGTCTTTCCGCAGAGTCACCGATTAGCGAGGAGGAGGCCGTCAAGAGTGCGCCATTGATCCCGGCATCCGCATCGCTGGAGAAGCCAATTAGCGAGGTGGTCAGCTCGGTGCTGACACATCGTATGCCCGAGACGACCTCAACTGCTGGGGAGCATGGGCTGGGTCGCATACAGCTGTCCATCACGTACTCGGCTCAGCGCCAGAAGCTCGATGTGACCATACACAAGATAATGAATATACCGTTGCGTGACCCTAGTAGCATACCGGACCCATATGTTAAGCTGTATTTGCTACCTGGTCGCAGCAAGGAGTCTAAGCGCAAGACCAGCATCATCAAGGACAACTGCAATCCCGTCTACGATGCATCCTTTGAGTACCTCATCTCGATTGCCGAGCTGAGGCACACGGCACTCGAGGTTACCGTCTGCACACAGAAGGGGTTCCTATCCAGCGGCAGTCCCATCATTGGCATGGTGAGTGAGCAGGTCAAAAACCAACCCCTAGTTGCATACCTGAGCGTGCCAACAGCCGCTCGCTTGTAATTACCAACAGCTTCTTTGGCCACAACTGCATTTATATAGTTGATTATTTGGTCTACATTCGTTCTTGCTTCGGCAGAACATATACTAAAATTGGAACGATACAGAGAAGATTAGCATGGCCCCTGCGCAAGGATGACACGCAAAATCGTGAAGCGTTCCACATTTTTTTGTATAAAAATACCTTTGCCAAGGGCATTATTATTTTCTCCTTAAATTTGTAATGCCTTAAAGGCGACTTCTCCGACCACATAAAGTATAGCATGTTTGTATTTTCAATCAGTATATAGGGTATGCAATCTTAGGCTCTCCAAAAAAACATTTGTTTGTGTTTTTGTTTTCAACTAATTTTCTATGGATTGTTCTTTTGCAGCTTAAATTACCTTTGGATGACAGCGAGATTACAACGCCCGCTGGCCTAAAGTCCTGGTTTGATCTGCAGCCAGAGCTGAAGCACGAGTGAATCAGCTGGGAAAATTTGAATTATTCATCAGGAATCTCCGTCAGTAGAATCTGAACTGAACATTTGTCATTGTTTTGTATTTAATTTGTGTATAAAAGTGAATTGTATTTATGACTCTCTTAAGCAAAACTGGTTGGCCTTTCAACACTAGAACCAAAACTCTCTTAGTCGTGCCTCTGAATCTGTATTTTCTATTGTAGTTTAAGTAAATCGGACAATTTGTGTTTACAACTGTAATTAATGTCTTTAACAAATAAATATAATTTCATATTCAAAAATTAACATAAGTTACTGATGTTACCGGAAAATATCAATTTTTTTTTATTACCGCGCATCCAGTAAACGTGGGCAGACTATTTTTGGATATATCTTTAGAGGATCTCATCAAAACCAATATACTTAAAATTTCTGTCAGGGTGTGCGTAGAACAAAAAAGTGAAGCAAATTTCTAAATTTTAGAAAAAAAAAAACAAAACTTGCGTAAAAACGGCTTTCTCCTTTTTCCCCTATGTGCGATTAGATTTTTTTCAAAGCGTGTTCGTTGATTTTATGCTTATATATTTATAAACAGATTTAAGAGCCAAAGTGTTCTTAATAAATCAGGAAGCGAACAAAAATAATTTTTTCCACAAAAATTTAAATTCTTTAATCAAAATCGCGTGCTCGTTGTGCCAGCTATTAATAATTACTTTGGTTTGACTGAATTTCATTTTAACACATTCTTTAAATATTCCATGACAAGCTGAATACATGTCAAAGCAACGACACCGCGATTAGCGTATACATAAACCAATGTGAAACAGACAACAGATGTCGCTTTGTTCAATTTGCTGGTGTGCTTATAATTCCCAACTGCGTATTGGGCCAGAGCTGCATTTATATAGCTGATTTTTTGGTCTACATTCGTTCTTGCTTCGGCAGAACATATACTAAAATTGGAACGATACAGAGAAGATTAGCATGGCCCCTGCGCAAGGATGACACGCAAAATCGTGAAGCGTTCCACATTTTTTTGCAGCACCCACCCCCCGCCTTACCCACGCTTTAGCTTTATGTACATTAATCCCAATTTTCTAATACTCTTTTAGTTGTTTTTTTGTTGCCGTCGCCATTTATTTTAGCATAGAAATTTGGTATTTATTTTGAATATATAGACATTTTTTTATTGGTTGGACATGCATAATGAGTTTGTTTTGTGTTCGTATTCTATATATAATTTATACTTTTCGCTGTTCCTCATTTTTTATACATAATAATTATGTTTTCTTTTGTTTTGCCTTAAGGCTGACACAATTTAAAATTTTCAACACAGTTACTTTAAATTTATTTTCTCTTGTACATACGTATATATATATATATTTAGATATTCATACATATATTCATAATTGTTTATCAATTAGTTGCAATTGTTGTTGGACACCACATTCATTTGTTGGGTTATCTGATAGCCTTTCAGGCCATCTAAAGAGCTGTATAGCTCGATAGTTTCTTGACTTGAAATCGGCACGGAACTGAAGGATGAATAGCGCTTCGTTTTGTAACGATCTTCTTTAATTAGTTTTGTTTTTCACATACCTAATTAGTATAAAAATTCATATGTATGCTTTTAATGGACACATATGAATATGAATCAGGCTCTCTTGTTTTATATACTTATATTTTTAGTTCCCACAGTTAATTCTTGGTTAATTCAATTTTTGACCATAATTTAAGCTGGATGTAAACCTACGACATATATGTATATGTTATGTATATCATTTTGATCCTTAATTATTTACTGAATATGAAACTTGTATTCAACTTTGAGGTAGTTAATCCTTTGTTTAGGTATTTTACGATTAACAATTACGTTATTGATATCCACATATAAAAATTGGTAAATATGAAGCACATTTATTTAAAGCACACATTTACAATACATAAATATAATATTTATGTTTTCTTGGTATATATATATATTCTTTTTTTTTTTTGTTTGTATTCGCATTTGTTCTTGTTACAATATAATTAAGAATTATATAGGTTAATATTTGTGTATGTATATAATATTTAGTATGCTCTTTACACATATTAAACACTGAGGAACTGTCGTGCTTACTTCAATGCTGTCTCGCACTTCATTTGCATATATTACTTGCAGTGGGACAAAGACAATCCTAAACCTAAGCAACTCTGTTATACACTACAGTATATATATAGCAGGTATTACATGCCCAAAAAATTTTAGTCGCTTTGCTTGCGCTTGTACTTTGTGTGTGTGTGGCTGTAGCCATGTGTGTAAGTGTGCGCGTGTGTGTGTGTGGGTGTGTGGGTGTATTAGACGTAAATGTAATTTTGAATTCGTATTCATATCACTTATGGATTTGAAGCTCCTAAAACATGAATTTGAAAACCCTAATCAAAACTGATGGCCAATCGTTAATTGTGTATATTTTACAAACATATAAGTTCCATATATGTTTCTTTTCCATCTTTTCCATTTTGTAAGCCTAAACTAAGAACTACAATTTGTTTGTCACGTGCTCAACTCAGTGTGTGATACGAGTGCCTAAGTTCTAAGTTTTTAACTTGAATCACTTTTGTATTTTACATTTGTATTTTCGTTCTCATTTATCAAAGGAAAGCAACGTAAACAAAACAAAACAAAAACAAAAAGTCCAGACTAAACGCCTTTAGAATGTTTTGAATCTTTTTCTTACTTTTTTTTTAGTTTTTTTGATATCAACTGAACACAACTTGTTGCGCAACAAATAGCAATGATAAGGCTAGACCAGCCCCAACCCAGGAAAAACTTAAAACCCACGAATCTCTAACAAATATACTCAATACAAATATCACAAAATTAGCATCGAAGCAGAGCAAAACGTTCTTTAAAAAATCAAATAAACAATCGAAAATAGTCAAAATAATTAATATATATATATATATATAAATGTGTATATAGATATATATCGAACATAATAAAACTCAAAGTGTGTTAAGCTTGTTGTTTTTAGGTTTTTTTGGTGTTTTTGTATTTGAAACTTAATTCGTATGCACTTCAAAGAGCGACCCGCAACTAAATTTAAAAAATGAATGTAATTTAAGTTTTGCAATTGTTTGTTTTGCCTTAAGTAATAAATTAGGTTATTATATTGAAGGTAATTAATATGCGAAACGTAAATAATATGGTTTAATTTATATAAAACTTAAACGTATATAGTACGTAAAACCTGATCAGCATTTTATTAGCCAAAGGTTTTACCTGAACAAAATCGAAGCATATAAAGAAAAATTAAAATTATATCACCACGCATATATGTATGTATATATGTATATATTAGATCTATATAGATAGATGTACAGTAAAAGTAATTAAAAGATGCATCAAATTTAACAGCAAAAATGCAGTCGAATTCAATAAAGCAAAATTATTTTCAGTTTAACTTAGGATCAAACAAAAACTTAAAGACTGACAACCTAGGACCAATAAAAATGTATGTGGGGGCGGGTGGGGCCAACAAACATAGTGAACATAATTGTTTTGTATATATATATATATATATATATGAATATAACTATTAATAAAAAAAGTAAAAGCTCTCCATTTTAGCGAATAGATATAGAAAAAACTTAAAGCTAGACATTGAACCAACTTATACATCTTGTTTTATATAGCATCAAAACTTAAACAAATAAATCGCAGTTGTATATATATAGTTTTATATATATATATATATATAATATAATATGTAAGTGCTTGTTTAGTTAGCGCGTAGCGTAAATTTGTCTCGCAATTCAAATGTTTTAACAAAATCAAAAACTTATGTCGTAAGCAGGTAAAACTGGTAGCTAATTCCTAGACTCATTTTCTTAGCATTACCTCCATAATTTTTTCTTTCGTTCTTTTTCTTAAAAACTAAACAAAATTTCGTAGTGTTTTTGTGTTAGTGGTTGCCTCTTTCTTTACAGTTTGTTTCGTTTTTTTTTTTATTTCTTTTACATTTACCTCAGGGAATTCTTTTCTCTTTAATTTTTGCGCTGGCCAAATAGCTTGTTGCACAGGTTGCACTTATCTGTTGCACGCAAAGCCAGGCTCTTAAATCACAGTTACAACTATTTCTCACTTTCGCTCTTATCCTGTTATCATTCACGTATTATCACGCACTCAAGCAGAAAATTTTTTGAAAATTGATGTTTGGTTAGCCTAGTTTCTGGGTTACATTCTCAGCGGTGTGGATGGCTGGGCTGGGGATCTAGTTGGCGGGGGCTGTGGCTACATGCTAGTCAATGCTTAAGTCTAAACTTGATGGGCGGTTCGTTTATGCTTTGGATTTTTTGGTCTATGATTTACGCAGATCCTCGAGCCCACCGTTGGGCATGCCGCCGCGCATATTTTCCAAGACTTTATTCACAAAGTCTGTAGAGCCGCCCGCAATGCGTATGCCCGCTATAGGATACAAAAACAAAATCCGATATTTATTATTCAATTCTATGTTATCATATTTCATGTCCAACTCACATGTAGCCGTTGCATAAATGTGTTGTATTTGCTGGTCCACTTCGTCGGTCGACTCGCCCTGACTCTTTGTGCGATGCTTCAATGCCAGCGCCTGTTTCAGCTCGGCAATGCCATTGATCAGACGCTCTGAATTAAATTTAAAGATAAGTATCGTTTTAAGGCCCTAAACGCATTTCAACTCGACTCACTGTGCTCAATTTCCAACCCATAGAGTTTGATCTTATTAGCCTCATGCTGGGCCTTCTTCTTCAGACGGCAGGCGCGAGAGGCCAATTTGTTCTTCTCCTTGCGCGACTTGGGACGCACATTGAACGGAAGCTCCGACACGGGTGTCATATCGTTGATGGTGCGACTCAGCTTGTCCAGTTCCTTGCCAATATTATGCAGCTTGCGCGCATTTGGCGTCAAATCGTTGCCATCCCCCTTGCGAGCCTTGCCACTGTGCTGTTTGTTTAAATATAAAATCAAATATGATTAGAAGTAGGTCAAAAAACTAATTAATTAATCAGTTGGGTATTGTTAGGTTACCCTGGTTGATGCAGTAGGCCTGGCTAATACCGATTAAGCGATGCTTTGCTTTGCTTCCCTCTAAACTTTATTGTTAATTCCTAGATTTTCATTTTCGATAGTTTATTAAGAAAGTTGTAACCCAGGTGCTTTCAGCATTTTACTATTGAGATCTTTGGTTCGACTTTGACTTAAAAACTCCTAGAAACCAGGGCTGCAAAATAGTCTCTGCCCAGAGATTCGTTTCGTTAACCCAGGTTTGATTCGAAGCCTGCTCTTCATATATTTCTAATATTTAATATTCAATGATATTGGCCTCTATCAAAATTGATTAGATAATAGAATTGCCGGACCCAAGGTTATTTTCCCTTGGGTTGGGTCTCTCTTTCTTTAGTTTTTTCATTTTTACCAAAATTATTTTTTTTTAAGGTTTGGTTTATAAAGCGAAATTGAAGACACGAGCATATTCACTTAAAAGCTGATTTGTAGCCCTGATTGAGGATATTGGATGAAATTGTCTTTCTATCTTATCCTAGCTTCTTCAATTCTTTAAATGTTTATATAAAAACTTAACCCTAATTGATTTTTGATTATCTTTCCTATTTCGTTCATACGCACCTTATACACTTTAATGCCGCGCACGGAGCAGGTGGGACTAAACACGGGATCTGTGACCTCGTTGAGCACATGGGGATCCTCTAGCTTGGACTGGAAGACGAGCCGCTTGCCCTTCGGCCCCTTGGCCTGTACATTGTACTGCCAAAAGAAACGCTCCTTTCCCTTGCTGCTGCTAAGCTGATTCGGTGTCGACGTGCGTGTCTCATCCTCATCCCCAGAGCCGCCTAGGAGAAAGTGCGTGGGAGAGAGAGATCTTTAGTAAATATATATCGAAATTATGATGTAACAATTTGACTCACAATTGTCGCTGCTGAAGTCGTCGTAGTTGTCGCTATTCTCGCTGGATGCATCGTCCTCGTCATCCTGGGAGAAGTCGATGCCATCGGGCGATAAAACGCTGCCGGTGCTAAGCGAGGAGAAGCTCTCGGCCTCGGCCAGCGAGCCGGTTGATAGTAAATGCTGTCGCGGCTCACGTCGCATCCAGATGTGCTCCAGCCCCAAATGCGTTGGCGCCGACGACGATAGACGCGACAGCTGTGAGCTCTCGATGGCTCCCGTCTGATAGCCAACCGATTTGCGTACGCCGCCCGGCGGCGCCTCGGTTATGACCACCTGACCGGGGCTCTGATTGGCATTTGTCGTGGCAATTGTGGTGCTGTTGCCGCTGGCGGCGCTGCCAAAGCCGCTGCTGCTGCCGCCAGGACTGAGCGCAGCCGTTTGACTGAGCAGTGAATGGCGGTCAGGGGGCGAGGACATGGCCATGCCCTTCTTTAGCAGCTCCTGCATGTTGCGCGACTTGACCAGCTGATATTGTGAGCGGCTGGCATGCGGCGGTGGCGTCAGCGGCGACTGCGATGCCTGGCTGCCCGGCGAGAAACTAGAGCCCAATTGAGATGGCGGCTTCTGAGGTGTGCTATGGTACAGCTCAAATGTGTCCGCTTGTTGTTGTTGCAGTTGTTGTTGTTGTGTTTGTTGACCCTGCGATAGCAGCGTTTGCAACTGCTGCTGCTGTTGCTGCTGCTGCTGCAACAGCTCCAGAGGTGGGCCCACGAGCGCATCGGGTGTTTGCGATTGCGGTGACAGCAGAAAGTTAACATTCTGTGCGGGCAGCAAATCCTCAATGGTGCTCATCACATCCAAAAAGTCACCTCCATTCAAATCGGCCAGCTCGGCAGCTTGCATTTCGGCCTTGTCGTTGGGAAAGATATAATCATCATCTAGATTAAATGGCTCGTGTTTTGTATGGACAATGGCGCTGCTGATGTCGCTCCACATGGCATTCGAATTGGGCGTCATCTCGTACAGCGATGAACTGCCGCTGACCACATCCTGCAGCAGCGATTGCTCCGATGGCATATTCAGGCTGAGACAGGAGCTCAGATCGGGCGTAAAATAGTTGCTGTTGCCGGCGCCGCCACGGCTATTGCTGCCAGCATTGTGACCGCTTGTATCGTTGCCGCCGCTGCTGTAGAGCGTAGAGCTGAGCGGCGAGGCAGCGCCCAGGCTAACGTCCTGCAGCAGCGTCGGCGACAATGAGGCAGCATCCAGTGCATCCAGTCCAAAGTCTGAGAGTTCGCCTAGTTGCAGCGGTTGCTGTTGCTGCTGTTGTTGCTGCTGCTGCTGTTGCTGCTGCTGCTGTTGCTGCTGTTGCTGCTGCTGCTGCAACTGTTGCTGTTGCGCCATGCTGGGCAAACTGTGCAAATGATGTTGCTGCTGGCGCGGCGTTGGCGTCAAGGTCGGCGTACCGCTCAGCTGCTGATACGGATGATGGTGATGGTGACTATGATGATGGCTCTGATTGGGATTATTGCTGCGCGGTATGCTAATTGCAGTTGTGCTCAGCATCACATTCGATGTGTAGCTGCTGCCGCTGCTGCTGCTCGTAATGGCACTCGAATTGTTGTGATTGTTGTTGTTGTTGTTGGTGTTGGTGTTACTGTTGCTGTTGTTACTATTGCCACCGATATAGCTGCCCGTTTGTATGCTCAGCGTGGGCGTGGCCAGCGCATACAGTTCGTATTTCAATGGATTGCTGCTGCTGTTTGAGCCGCTGTCAAAGAATTCCGATGACATGGGGTATAGCTGATTCTCAGTCATGGCGCCGCAAGTGGAGATCAACGCGGGGGAGGAGGGGAGCAGTGAAAGTGTGTGGGCAGCTGTTGCTCTTTTTTTTGTTACTGCTGTTGTTGCTGGTGCTCTGCGCCTGGCGCCCAGGCGCTGCGCTGCGACTGCGCAGTTGCTTTAGAATAGCTGCAAGAGATATTAAGAAAAATGAGTTAGTTGCTTGAACTTCTGATTAAATTAAACATAAATAGTTTTTAATAGCATATTTAATGGCTAAAATCAAGCTTCAAGGCCTGTCACATTCACAGCAACAATAACGAGTATAGCTAAGCACTGAAATCGGAATTTCTTAGTCGTGTCTCCGTCTGAACTTTAAGAATTGGCATTAGCAACTTTTAAATTATCCATAAAATCATAATTTAAACAGCTCGCGGCAATAAAAGTCTAAACGCTTACGTAAATTAACAGCGATAACTTTTATCGTTCATTTTTTAATTCAAGCAACTATCGATAAGAAAAATCTACACATTAAATTGATTAAACCACTAACCAAACAACAAGTTGATTAAACACAATTATTTTCCAACGAAAAATATCAATATGATAGACAACATCGATATAGAAAAAGATAGCAGATATCGATAATCAGTGGATATCGATAATCAGTGGATATCGATAATTAAGTTTATGTATTATGTTTATTTTTTATAATCTTATTATTTTGATAGATGTTCGATAGATGATGAACGATATTTCAACTATTTATTATAACCATAAATATAAAACAGATATTAGCTTGGACGATTATATCGATACTGTTACGGTATTGATAGCATACACATTATAGCAGCTCTTGAATATCCTACAAGTGCATAACAGTTGCTTTAGACTCAACAAAACGTTACTTATTAACTTTTATGCTAATTACATTTGCAATGCCAGATTCCAATTCAGTTGTTAGTTAGCTTAATCTGAGCCGGAACTGTACTGTAAAGTGATTATATGTAATGCCAAGACTGAGGCGTTGTGTTATATGATTGATGGGCTACCATGCAAATGATGTAGAGGCTAATCACGTGGCAGGGAGAGAGAGTGTGAGATTGTAAGAACCAGAGAGAGAGAGAGAGAGAGATAGAGAGAGAGAGAGAGAGAGAGAGAGAGAGAGAGAGAGAGAGAGAGAGAGAGAGGGACCTAAAACATTTACCATGGAACCACAACCGAAATGTTATATTGTATTTAGGAATTATATTCATCAAGTATTCACGTTAAACGTTACTTTTTTAAAGTAAAAATAACTAAAGAAGAAACTTTCACGTCAAAGTAAAACCACAAAAGATAATCGCACGGCAACTGTCATAAAAATGTGAGCACCGGCTTCTTTAAAATGTTTTGCAAATAGTTGACTTTTTCTTAATGTTGTTATTTTTGCGCAAAACTTTTTATTCGCAAAATCCTCCACAACCGCCGCCCCCCCCCCTTCCCTTCTCTTTTTGTTATGGTTGAAACTATTCGCAATTTTGTTTTGCGCAAATTAGAACCAAAAATAGAAAGGAACAATAAAAAAAAATACATAATTTGAAAAACAAAAAACGAGAAATCAAGTCAAAAGAAACTTAATAACAAAAATAGGGAACAAAATAAAATCGAAGAAAGAAAAAAACTATGCCAAAATGAGTATGCGCTTGTTTTGGTTGGTTTTGTTTTTGTTTTTGTTTTTGTTGTTGTTGTAAATTTCGTGGCTCGACGGTTTTTGCCTTTCGCCAGGCAAGTGACTCCACAGTTTGTTTTTGTTGTTGTTCTTCTCTTTGTAGATTATAAATATTTATTAGCTTGTTTACAAAGAAAACGAAACTTCTGGTTGATTTTTGGTCGTACATTTAAACGGCGAAATGCATCTAGTATCTGGAATTCCCTGCGGCGCATTTCGCACAAAAGAGATGAAATGTCGTTTATTGGGAAATTGAGCCGAAAACCCTGACTGATTTTTTTTTTTTTTTTTTTTGGGTATTCAAGAATAAATTATTCAAGAATAGTCTAAGTGCAAATAATGATCCTTCTGTGGAAATTAAGGGCTGCAAATAACCCGAGCAGCGAGGGCTTTCGAGTTTATAAAAAGTCATTATATAAATCGTATCCCAATTTTTGACAATTAAAAACTTATATATGTATAATGGTATTTTTATACTGAAGCTATTGTGGAATTAACTGATGTATCGGTGATGATTATGTGATCGGTTATCGATAGTGTTATCGAAAACATATTCAATATATGAAATATGAAAACATATTTTATATTTATTATAAAAGTTTAATATATTCTGTTATGCTATCGATGTTTTAAGTAAACTATAAAGTTATCGATAAGTTTTTTTTACCATAATCATAAGAACATAATGCCGCAGTCTGTGGAATATTTTTTAGACAGTTTATGTAATATCCATAATTTACAACAGAGTGAACAAGTCCAGCATTTCTAGCAATCTAAAAATAACTCACTCTTCGATGTTATTATCGATAACTTTTTCTTACGATAAATTTCACCCCTTTTCCCCTTTTACATACATACATCACCGATGCATCGTTGGTCAATCATTTTTGTAAAGAAACGACAATTTAATTTCATTCCATATTCACTAATTCTACTTATTATTAAATCAGCTGATTAGCATTATCGAACATATTAGCATGCATTGATATGTGAACATAACTATGAATGTAATGTATACATGTGTACATACATATATGCATAGACCTTGGAATTAATATCACCCAGTCGACAAAGCTTATCTGTAGCATGTAGTCAGTCGGTTTGGGCGATAGCTCGACATATTCACAGCTGATAGCTGAATCAATTACAACAGGCCAAACATTAGAGTGGACCGAGCATTGCCTCCCGTTCGTCAAGGTCATACGAGAGCACAGGCACACACACGTACACACACACACACACACACACACACACACACACACACACACACACACACAATATGTAGCATCTAAAGCGGCACTTAAACGGCAAATATAACAACAATTCTACTTTAGCTAAGTTAAATGCTTGTTTCTCTGGTTTCCTTACATATTATTCCTATTGCTCGAACACGCCTCTTCAACAATCCCCCTCTCCCCCTTTCCCATTGTTGGCATTTAAATTGTTTAATATTCGTCAAAGGTTGCCGAACGCGTCGAAGGCCAAACAATTTTTTTTTTCATTTCGAATCAAAAGCGCCCTCTATGAACAAATGTGGGTATTCTAGGAGAAACATTTATAAGTATGTATGTATGTATGTACATGCATACATCTGTATATACATATGTATATATAGGAAACATATGGCAAGCGTTTATATACAAAAGCTACGAATGGGAATAGGCAAAACACAAATAGAATTTATTACAAATTTGCTGCCGAAAAGCATAGCAAAAAACAGAAATAATAAATAACAAAAAAATACTTAAAAACTTAAGTGGAATTGTACAGAAAAGTACAGAACAAGCCGAAAGCAAGCAAACATTTTGATGGCGCAAGTGTCGAAGAGAAAAAGCGGGAGACAGCACGAAAAAAGCTTTAAAAAGAGCATGTCTGTATAATTATCATGAAGATTATTATAGCGAACAACATGCTTACTACAGAAAGAGGTAATAAACGCGAAATGTTTGCAGAGGAGGACGCGAATATAAAGATAACGAGAAGAAACATATGTTGCAAAACATATGATTACAAAAGAAAGATACATTACAAATACAGAAAAAATAATAAATAAATAATGAACATTTATAGATGTATGTTCAAGCTTTGCATGTGTAAACAAAGCGAAACGGCACAAAGAACGCGTGGGATGCACGTGAAGCATGCTTTGGTTAATACTTTGGTGGGGGGAAGGGTTTAAAGTACAAAACTGGCCACAAGGCGTGACCAAAACAAATAAAACACACCAACAAAAGTAGCTGCTCCTGACGTCATATACATGTATGTATGTATGTTCGAATATACAAAAAAATTAATAAACATTTTAAATTACAAAAATGTATAAAATTTTCGAATCAAATTGTAAACACAGCAGACAGGCAATTTCAACACACAATGAAATAATGTGCAATAATTATAAACAAAATATGTATATCAAGAGCAATAATACAAAGAAAACAGTTAGGCGAGCCGAGCTATCAACAAATTAGAGAGAGAGAGAGAGAAAAAGGGCGAAGAGTGGCATGCAGCACATAGAGAGCAAGCAGCGCGCTGTGGGTGCAGTTATTAACCAACCTCAAGGTCAAAACTGTTTATTTTTTATATTTTGTTTTGAATTTATAATTTATCGCAGTGTTGCCTTTGTTTTACACACACACACCGATACAACAAAGAGTTGTAAACAAAACTGGGAGCTTGTAAAAAGCTTTTGAGAGCGTGGGCTGTTTGTGTAGTCCGCCTTCCTCTCTCTCTCTCTCAATAGCACACTCAACGTATGCGCTCTGTTTCTGTTTTCTGACTGTTTGCTTTTGTCGCCATTTTCGTATAAAAATATAAAGCGTGCGTGTGTGTATATGTATATGCATGCATATGTAGTAAATAATCTAAAGCTTTTTGGTTGCTTTGGCTGGTCGACGGGTTTTTTGTGTGTAAATAAAATATCGTTACAATAACAAAACGCCAGCGGTTGGGAAGCTTTTACATTTCGCCAGAATATATACTAGAATTCTTGACACACACACAAACACACAGACAACTATGAAGGTGTACATGCAGTGTGGCTGCCATACTGCTTAAGGTTTGCGAAAATATGTATGTATGTACACAGGTATAAGCGAATAGATCGGATAAATATTCAGGCATGCAGTTGTCCTATAGACTGACCAACAACTGACTTTGTTTTGCCTCACACAACAAAAGAAATTCAATTTTGTAAATCAGAACTCTGGCACGTTGCATAAGCCTCGCGACACAGACACACTTTGCATTATCAGTTTCTTTTGCGAGAGCGCATGCAGTATGACAAAGACAAAAAAAAAAGTCAACCATACAAACACACACACATACACGTGCAAATACATTGCACTCTCGCTCTCTTTCATTACACCGGAAAGTTGGGTTTGTGTTGATTTTGATCGTTGAACGGGCTCGCAACTTCCGTTGTGCATTATCAATGGGTCACTGACTAGTTCTAGTCGCCCCCTTTGACACTCGTATCACC